TCTGTTAATGATTCACGCAACGTCCATTAATCATCCACAGAAGCTTCGTGAACTTTCTGTTAATGATCCACGGAACATCGATTAATCGTCCACGGAGGGTCTGTGAATTCTCTATTAATGGTCCACGAAATGTCGATGAATTGTCCACCGAGGCTCCGTAAATTCTCTGTTAATGATTCACGCAACGTCCATTAATCATCCACAGAAGCTTCGTGAACTTTCTATTAATGATCCACGGAACATCGATTAATCGTCCACGGAGGGTCTGTGAATTCTCTATTAATGGTCCACGAAATGTCGATGAATTGTCCACCGAGGCTCCGTAAATTCTCTGTTAATGATTCACGCAACGTCCATTAATCATCCATAGAAGCTTCGTGAACTTTCTATTAATGATCCACGGAACATCGATTAATCGTCCACGGAGGGTCTGTGAATTCTCTATTAATGGTCCACGAAATGTCGATGAATTGTCCACCGAGGCTCCGTAAATTCTCTATTAATGAGTCACAAAACGTCAATTAATCGTCCATCGAGGATCCGTGAACCCTCAATATATGATTCACGCAACGTCTGATAGATATTTTTAAAGATGTGTAATGGAGATCCAGTAATGGAGGTATGTGTAATGAAGGTATACATTAGATTTTTAATGGATTTTTATCATTTTTTTTCATGAGTTAATCAGTTTTCTTTTCATTAAACGCTTTGATAACACAAGTATACATGGTTTTGGACCTGAGCAACCAAAAGCTGTTTATAAGGTAGATTCGGAGGCTGAATCCAAATCAGCAGCCCATTTTTTGAAATTGGTTCTAGTTTTCGAAATATTCAATAAATTCATTATTTTACTATTCTTGACCATTAACGGCCATTTATTGAATTGAAAAGTATAAATCAGAAATGAACAGAGGTTGAACTGAGTCTTTTATATTTCTTGGGATCTGTTTCACGCTTTAGGGTCCAACAGTAGTCGCTCATCATGCCGTCCCAAAATCCTTGGTATCGCCTTTCGATTTTCGCTATATCTTGATGTAGCCGCTCTCCTTGCTCGTCGCTTGTATCGCCCAAGTTTTGTGGAAAAAAATCAAGATGTGAATGCAGAAAATGTATCTTGAGAGACATTCGAGCTCCAATCTTGTGGTAATTCTTTAAAAAATTGTCGATTACTTGTTTGTAATCCGGTGATTTGTGGTTACCGAGAAAGTTGTGAACAACATTTTTAAACGATGCCCATGCTGGTGCTTCATCAGGCGTTAAACATTTTGTAAACTTTGCATCAGCCATTACTTTTCGAATATCAGGTCCGACAAATATTCCTTCTTTGATTTTTGCGTATGACAGTTTTGGAAACAACTTGATTAAGTACTGGAAAGCCGGTCCTTCGCGATTGAGCGCTTTGACAAAGTTCTTAATAAGGCCAAGTTTAATATGAAGAGGTGGCAATAAAACGTCCTGTGGGTTCACAAGTGGTATAGAGGACACATTTTGTTGTCCTGGCTCATAATGGGTACGACTCGGCCACACCTTTCTCACATAATGATGATCAACTGCACGGCTGTCCCACAGACACAAAAAACAGCAAAATTTCGTGAATCCAGATTGCATCCCAACCAATAGACCAATAACCTGTAATCAATATGTAAATCAATTAATATCTATTTCGAAATTAAGTACAATTAATTTATTTCTCAACCTTTAGATCGCCACAAATTTTCCATTGATACTCATTGTATTTGATCTTGGCCAAAATTGTACGCATTGTGTCATAGCATTCCTTAGTTTGTACTGCGTGAGCAATCGGAATCGATGGTTTTTTATTTCCAATGTGGAGTAGAGCCGCCTTCAAACTGTATTTAGAACCATCTATGAACAAACGCCATTCATTTTGATCATATGCTGTATTCATCACATCAAATAAACCTTTGATGTCATTGCAGAAACACATGTCATTTTCTTTTTTGAAGAAAGGTAAAATCGCGTGATTTCTATTTCTGTATATAGTGACTTGTGTTGTAGGGTCAAGATGTTTCCATTCTTGCAACCGTGATGCAAGCAACTCTGCTTTTTGTTTCGATAAATTCAAATCGCGAATCAAATCACTCAGTTCACTTTGCGAAAGTAAATGCTTTTCTTCCATTACGAAATCGCTTTCATTGTTCGCCGGTGATGACGAAGTTCTTAGGACATTTTTTTCGCTTATACCTGGACAAATTGGCAATGGATCACTGTCCGTACGTGGAACTGGCTTCGACACTGATGATACGTCCGGATATTCATACCGTGCTAGTTTCTTTGCATTCATACCGACGACATTCATTGAGCAAAAGTAGCAATCATCTACATGATTTTTCTGTTCTCTCCATAACGTTGGCACAGAAAATGAAAAGTACTTATTTTCACCAAGTGACCACTTGTACAGCTTTGTTCTGCACGCGTTACAAAACAATTTCGGTACCCATGGCTTGTCAGTGTTTACTACAGCAAAACCAAAGTACTGCAAATACGCATCTTTGAGCGCATTTGTTATGATTTTTCCACGTTTTCCGAGCATATAACATCCACAAACGTAACAAAAACACTTTGAATCGACTGTGCAACGTTTTCTCTGCATTTTCACACGTTCCGAAGCACAATCACAGTACAAAAACAAGTTCCGAAAGATGTTCGATGCAACGTGGTCAACTGATAGCTGTTATAAGAGCGCAGTACCGCCACCATCCGCGAACTCGAAAACTAGAACCAATCTTGACAAACGGATTGAAGATCTGAGTTCAGGGCACCAAATAACGTTAAGAATCGTTCTCATCTGCTCGGGTCCAAAAGTTGACCCGAATTTGTAAACTTGTGTAATTATATTTATATACTTTAAATTAAAATTAATATACTTAAACTTAAATTAATTTAAACAGTTAATTTATTTAATTATATAAAATTTATATTTATTTTAATTATTAAATTAAATTATAAAAATTTTTTAACGAGGTGTTATATAATTAATGTTTCAAATTTACTCATAAAAATTTTTATTTTTATTAACTATTTTAAATTTTTAATTGATTATAAACTTCAATATTAATATTTATAATATTAATTATCTTCTTAAGTATTAATTATTTATATAAATTATCATCCCTAATAAATGTCTAATAGAGGTCTTATAAGATATTTGTATAAGATATTTATTATAAATGCAGAATGGTTCTCTAATAAACGTCTGATTTTCACGCGATGAAAGTCAACCATTCCACAGAGCTGCGGAAGTTTAATGGATCTCTAATGGACGTCTCTCTAACTTCCACCGTGGAAGTAAACATATTTCATTGCTATAAAGTTTGAATGGATCTCTAATAGACGTCTATCTAACTTCCACCGTGGAAGTAAACATTCCATAGAGTTACGGAGGTTTAGTGGATGTCTAATGGACGTCTATCTGACTTCCATCGTGGATGTCAACGTCTGAGTGCTATAGAAGTTGAATGGATCTCTAACAGACATCTGTTTGACTTCTATCGCGGAAGTAAACATCTTATAGATCTATGGAGGTTTTATAGATTTCTAATGGACGTCTGTCTGACTTCCATCGTGGAAATCAACATATCATAGACTTATGGAGATTTAATGGATCTCTAATGGACGTCCATCTGACCTCCATCATGGAGATAGATGTCCTATGGAGCTATGGCCGTTTAATGGACATCCACTGGATGTCAATTTCTATGTGGGATATATATATATATAATATAAATATATATATATATATATATATATATATAATAATATATATTATTAACAAATATATATTTCATGTTTTTTTATTCATTTTGATCATAAATATATATAAATTAAAATACTTTAATAATAAAGCTCGTTAATACGAATTAAGAAACATAAATACAATAAACAGCCTAGGTTTGTTCTTTTTAGCTGACCTAGTGCTGCACTGGGACTGCACTAGAACTGGCGAGTTCACAGAAAATTCTGTCAGTGCACGAATGCAACAAAGAATAAAAAGAACGGTTCAAGTACAGTAACTAATATGGCGTACCAAAATATAAGAAACATAAATAATGCGCTGATAGCAGAATCATCTGATGAAGAAGATTTATTTGCAATACCAGAACCATTATTGTTACCAATATTAAATGAAGATGATGATGATGGTAAATTTAATCAATTAAAATAAAACAATTATTTATATAATAGTAAGAAAAATCTAACCTATTCTAATGGCATCAGATCTTAACGAATTGCAAATATTCCATGCAATTTTTGGAATTATCCAAAGAGTAGACCACGTGAGGATAAATAATTATGTAGAAAATATTGTACGAAATTATGATAATATCGATTTCATCATGCACTTCAGGTTATCTAGGCATGTAGTATATAGAATGATAGATGAGTTCAGCGCATCTGAGATATTTACTTCTCTGCAAGGTTTATTTAATATTTTATTTATTTAGATTTATTATGATTATTATATATAAATATTATACATATATTACATATATATCATTTTTGTAGGTGACGTAGGACGTATTAATATAACAGCAGAAAGGCATATACTTTGTTATCTTTGGTTTGTAGGCCACGAAAGTGCATCCTATCGTGATGTTGCTGATAGGTTTGGAATAACTTTAAGTGTTTTATATAACATTATTACCAGAGTAACAGATTTTATATTACTTTTCGCAAATAATGTAATTAAATATCCAAATGCAATTGAAAAAGCAGAAACAGCTGCATTTTATCAAGATTCAAAAGGATTTCCTGGTGTAATTGGTAATATTTATTTATATTTATATATCTTGTTATTATATTAATAGTTTTATTTATATATATATGTGTGTGTATATATATATATATATATTCGTATTTTTTTAGGGGCAATTGATGGCTCACATATCAGAATAGATAAACCTGGCGAAGATCCTGATTCTTATATTAACAGAAAACAATATTTTTCGATACATATCCAAGGAACAGTAAATCATCATATGAAATTTATTGATGTATTTATTGGATATCCTGGATCTGTGCATGATGCCAGAGTATTCAAAAATTCATCATTACGTAATGACCTCCATGAACTTTGCGGTAGTAAGTAAAAAGAATTACAAAACAAATTACGAAAAAGGAAAATCGACAATATTATATATTTCAATGTTATATATAATTTATTTTTTTGATTTTTTAGATAATTATTATTTGTTAGGAGATAGTGCATATCCTTGTTTGACACACTTAATGGTACCTTATAGAGATAATGGTCATTTAACACGGGCACAACGAAATTTTAATAGAAAATTAAGTTCTTGCCGTGTTATAATAGAAAATGCATTTGGATGCCTCAAACAGCGATTTCGACAATTGTATCACCTAAAATTAAGAGATATTGTCAGAATGGTACGTGTGATACATGCATGTTGTGTACTTCACAACATGGCGAATGTGGAAGATATGGAATTTTTTGAACCACCTATAAATAATGAATATCCTGACATGGCAGCGCTGGGTCATGTTCAAGAAATGGATATACAAAGGGAACATGATAATGGAATACATATTCGTGATGAATTATGTCACAGAATATCTGGTGAATAGATAAGTAGAGTAATCAGAGTAGTAATAAGGTAATTTGTAATAAAAATAAACAATATATTGTATATATTTAAACATAAATTTGTATTTTTTTTATTAATTACTTTTATAATTTATATAAACTTTTATAATTTAATGAACACAATACTAAATAAAATTGTTCTTTCTATATGAAAGTTTTGTATCCTTACTTTCTCCAATATCTCGCCAGTGTATCTTTATTCTCAATTAATATTGCAAACAAACAATAATTAATATCTTTATTCTCAATAAATATTGCAAACAAAAAAATTTATATATATAGATAATATAATAAAAATATTTAATTCTTATATAAATATATGCATGTGTAACAGTAAAAAAAGAAAACAAAATTTATATTATTAATAAAACAACTTATAAATTATATAACTGAAAAAAACAAAAATAAATACTGCTGTGCATACTACTTAAATATTATTTTAAATAATATCTTATTCAGTCTTTCTTGAAATAAGTTCTCGCAGCAATTCATTTCGTTCTCGCCTTAAATTATTTGCAATTATTAATTGCTCTTTTATCGTGTTTGTCATCTCTTCATAAATTCTTCTTATTTGCTTATATTCATTCAACATTTCTTTTTGTATATTTACTTTTTCATTTTTTTCAACTGAAATATTCTCCGTAAGTCTATCCAAAGTTTTTTGGCACTTATCTAGCAATCGACCCGTATTGCCTACTTGTTTTCGTTTCTTTGGTAGCTGTGAAATGTGTATGTTTTTTAATCATATTGAATAAAATTATGATAATTTGTCATTAGACTCCAATAATACTTTTTATTTTCTATTATATACCAGCTCGAACACATCGTATCTATATATTTTGGTATCATGTTTTTTGGTTTTGAGGAAAACTGATAACTCAATCACATTAAATGCAATAATATCACACTCAATGTGGATGTTACTGTTGTTGAATGTGGTCGAATTGCTATTTCTTTTCAAAATAAAAAAGATCATAAAAGTATGTAAATACAATATGCCTAATAAAATATCTCAGCCGAAAAGGAAAAGTATTATTGGAGGCCTATATATTTGTCTGAGATTGTAATTTACAGTGTTTTGTGCAGATATATCTTCAAGATTTTGATCTTGTAATCTTGATGTGGTTGCTTCATCATAGTTATTTTCTTCTTGAAGCAATGTAGTTTCATTTTGATTATTTGTGTTCTGTCTGTACAAATTTTCTAAGATAAATATACAGTGTTCTCTCGTGTGATTAAGTTATAAAAGAACTATTATTTAAAAAATATAAATTTTTATTGTTTATATTATGTTAAATTATATATAATAATTATTAACTTCATATTATTTTTTAAATAAAAAAAATTTCAATTTTTTTTATCAAACTTACTCTTCTTCTCTTGCCTCTGTCGGAGATATGCTCATTCGAGCAATTCTTGTTACAGTGCCTTCTTTTCCTGATACTGCCAAAGGTTCTATGTTATGTTTGTAGCCAAGTAATTCTGTTAATTCTCTGTGTAACAAAAATAAGTACATATATCTTATTAATATATTTTATATTTGTTATATTTATATTTTAATATACACTTATATACAAATCTAAATAATATAAATTCATATTTACGTCTCATAGAAACATGTTACACGTCCTCTGCCTGTCTGTTTATTATTAAATTTCATATTTTTATATGATCTCTCAAGTGATTTCCACTTATTTTCCACTTGCATTATGGTGAGATCAAATCCATGACATTTCATGTTTTCACAAATTGTCTGCCATAACATTTTTCTTGTCTTGATCTTTCTATTAATTAATAGTTCTCTTTTCTCTTTATATAATTCTAAAAATAATTTTGTACTGGCATCTGTCCAATTAAATGTTTTATTTACATTTAAAGATGAATGATTTTCTTTATCTACTTCACTGTTATGCAATTTGACAAATATGCATTTCTCTCCAACAGTACACTGAAGGGTTTCACAATTAAAATCGATTTCTTTATATTCTACTTGAAAACTTAAACCACCTACAAATATATTATTATATATTATTATACATAAAAACATGTTAAGTTTAATATTTATTCACTTGGTTATAGATTGAATACCTTCAGAGATACATGTAACGAATCCATCCTTATTAACTAAAATATTGCCTGCTGCATCTCTTGATATGTATCCGATTTCCATATTTTCAAAGTTTTCCATATTTGTATGGATAATTTCTATATATATATATATATATTAAATATATTAATTATAGTAATTATACAGTAATTATAATATAGTAATATAGTATTTATATATATAAAATTATATATATAAAATAATATAGTAATATAGTAATTATATATATAAAATTATATATATAAAATAATATAGTAATTATACAGAAATTATATTTATATATATATATATATATATATATATATATATTTAATTTCTGATAATTCTAATTGTATAATTTTCTAATATATATATTAGAAAATTATACAATTAGAATTATTAGAATTATTATATGTAAAAAATATATTTATCAAATTATGAGGTATTTTATACACAATACTTCTACTTATATTATTTATTTTACTTACGATATTTATGTTAAATGTTATTAATATCTATATCTTTTATATTAATGTTACACTACTGGGTCTATTCGTTTTAGCTGCACTACTGCACTAGTGCAATAAGTTAGAAAAAGACAAACATACTTTCTTTCACTCTAACTAATTGCACTAGTGCAGCAGTGCAGCTAAAATGAACAGACCCACTATTACTGTTACCGATTTCTTTTTATCACAATTATTTGAATCAGAGGTTAAATACACTATTGTTTATGTTTTATGTACGTCGCCATATTGAACTACACCGCTGCAAGCCTCCTCAAGACCTAGGGCAGGCAGTGCAGTGAACTGTTGTACTAAACAGAACTGTACTGCTAAAAAGAACAGCAGCATCTGACGTCACTTCCGCTAAAAAGAACGTTTCAGTGTACACTTTCTGAACTGGTGCAGCCAGTTCAGCTAAAAAGAACAAACCTCCTGATACGAGCTAAACTGTGGATGGTAGGTCAGTTAAAAAAACAAAAGATTAAAAAAGAATGTCAATAAGTCGCATTTATTAAGAGAGCGACAAAAAAGTGAGACGTTTCGATGCTTACTTGCATCTCTTCAGTCACGAAGTGTTAAGATTCAAAAATATGGTCGCATTTCGAATATAAAGTCAACGTGTGTTGTGTGACAGCTTGGTTTCTAATAAAAAATTACATACGCAAAATTAGATACATGAGATAAAAGATTAAATAAAGAAAAAATAGCGTGAAACTTAAGGAAACCGTTACAATTAAAATAGATCATTTGTAAAAATTCTCACCAAATCTCCTAAAATTTGAAACCTCCACACAGACTCGAGTCTTAGTATTAAAAATTAAAAACATTGTTGCGGCAACGGTAGACAGTAAGACAATGTGAGAGTGTATTATTCTCACCGCAATATAAATAGATCAGGATCGACAAGCACAATGCGAGACAAACAAACCATCATAACGAATCTAATAGTGAAAAATACATATTATTTAAAGCTGTTAAATCATCAATTTTATTTAATCCATTTTTTTGTTTTTTGATGAAAATCATTTCCGAAATCAATCTTTTAAAGTAATGGGGTTCCTGGTCTAGTATTTTAATTTCATCCCATCCTATAGAGTGATTTTCGTTAATAATATGGTCAGTGATAACAGATGGTTTGAAAGGCTGTCCAGCATTATTCCTGTGCTCCCTCAATCTAGTTTCAAGATGTCTCTTTGTCTGTCCCACGTAAGAAGCGTCGCAATTATTACACTCAATTCTATAAACTACATTATTTTCTTTTAATTTTGGAGTGGCGTCCTTGTGTACCTTGATGAAACGGTTCAAGCGGTTGAAACATTTGAAACCCGTAGAAAATTCAGTGTTGTTAAAAACTTTACAGACGCTTTCAGATAAACCTTTTATATAAGGAACCGCTATGTATTTTTTATCCCCTGAATCGGCATCAATTGAACCGTTAGACGTGTTATGGTTATCAGATTTAGCGAAAAGGAGTTTTTTTATTCTAGTAGACACGTATTTGAAAATAAACGGAAGAGGGTAGCCATTACTTAATAGGATGTTAATGCTAAGATTGATGTTCTTCCGATGGAAAGTTGGATGAGACAACAGAATTGATTTATCAATTAAGCCATATATTGTACCAATTTTGTGGCAAGTAGGATGATTAGAAAAAAAGGAGAGATATCTACCTGAATAAGTATCCTTATGAAACCAATCTAAAATTAACTTGTTATTATTGATATAAATTTTGAGGTCCAAAAAATTAATGCTTCTATCGTGTTCCGGTTCAACTGTGAATTTTAATCTATTGTGAAAAGAATTGAAAATTTCAACCACATTCTGTAATGCATCTCTGTCCACCGTCATCAAAATATCATCAACATAGCGATAATAAAATTTAATTTTTTTGCCGATTTTAAATAAGGCTTTGTTTTCAATGTCCTGTAAGACTAAATCTGCTATTATCGGTGATAGAGGGGAACCCATGGGAATTCCAAACGTTTGCCTGTACACTTTTCCCTCAAAGTTAAAATAGGTGGAGTCAAGGATAAATTTGACTATTCTTAAAAATTCTTTTTTCGGTACACTAGTGAATTTTTCCATATAAGACCATCTGTTTGAAATGGCACCGATAGCTAATTCGGTTGGGACATTAGTAAACAACGACACCACATCCAACGACCCTAAAATATGATTGTCATCTATTACGGTATTCAATAAAATGTTATAGAGCTGGTAACTATTTTTAACAGCACTTCTGGCAGTTGGAAGACTGCTTAAAAGAATTTTTTGAACAAATTTTGCTATGTTATACAACGGGCTGTTAATAAACGAAACAATGATGCGAAGAGGAAAATTCTGCTTGTGAATTTTCGGTAAACCGTAAATTTTTGGCAGTGAGCCATCA